TATTTTTTTTATTCCGACGACAAACTTAACTAGTCCGAGGGTGTTAATATCTATATTCAACAACTTTCATAATCCGTACTATCTACATTGGGTTGTTATTTCATATTCGGTTAGCCATTAAAGAAACCTGTGTAGAGATGAGCCAATTAGAATCGGGAATATAAATTTTCTGTTTATTTTTTGCGCAAATCTTAAATATCATCCATAATGAACAGTAGAGTTATTTTTTGTATAGTACTCAAAAACACCCTAAAATAGTAGCAAAACGTTACTTTAATCTTGTTTAAAACGTTGACTCAATAGGTTGCTTAGTTCAACATTGAGATTTCCAGTGTGAGAGTTCGACTGGTAACTGAAACACTCTTGAAGAAACAAAGATAAAATCTATTTTTACTTGGTAGTGTAGTGAACGAAAACAATAGTGGGGACAATTGAATATGTTTGAATACTTTATTTGCAAAATATCAATCAATTGTCTCAGACTTCATTGTTCTTTCATATCGACACTAATCATTCTCTGTTCTCATTCTCATTCTTTCGATCTTCTAGACCTCAATTTCGTAAACAACACCGCCACTGAGAAAAAACAATGAGTAGGACTTTCTTGTCAGTGTTTGTATACACATGGCATTTACAGGCACGTATACATTAAATCTTCTATTTACAAGCTAAAGAATTTCAATATTTTTTAACATTTTTTTTTCTTTTAAACAGCAAATTAGTTTTCTACAAGATAAGATCGCTAATCTTATACCTAGCCCTCCTCCTCCTCTTTATTCCCACTTAGGACTAGCAGTAGCGTCATAGTAAGAAAGGGAAGGAGAGGCATGTTTCCAAGCAAAGTTCATGAGTAATTCATCTCTGTACAATTTAATACTGTTGGGTCGGCTTCCGGAGAACTTCAACGGAGCCTCCAGAAGCCCACAAGGAGCCGAAGAGTCCTAGCCAATCAGAGTGTGATGGAACGTTCTAGAATTCCAACGTGGCATGCTACTATTGGTCGGTAGCATAATATGTCGTTATCGGATTGACTGTAAAATGATATTGATTTAACAGATGCCAACATTTATAAATACCCATGATTTTCTGTACAAAAATGAACCTTAGGATAAAGTATTTTCTCTCATACTTGTGTCTTCTCTCTGGTGTTCAAGTCGCAGTGTAGTTCTAGACGGCGGGTTACCGAAATAGCTTGGGAAACGAAGAGCGTTCAATTGACAAGACTTATCAAATACCAACCAAAAAAAAATTTTAAAAATCTTTCATAGTTTACCTTTTCTTTCTTTTTTAATACATAATCATGTGTAAATGCACTATATGTAATTTGTTCTTCATTAGTTAATTGTTTTTCATAATTAATTAATTGTTCATATGATTTATATCTTAATAAATTCCATAAATATTGTGCACTATAATTTGTTCCTATATGATATTTTAATAAATCAATTAAATTAAATACACTATTTGTTCTAGTTGGTAAATGAGTTAGAATAGGACATTTTATTGATTTCATTGATTTTATTGATTTTATCGATTTTCGATTATTCATTGATTGATTGATATTAATTTGTTTTAAATCAAATAACCATGATTTTAATTTATGATGAAATGGTATACGAGCCCCATGTAACATACCATTTGGATAACCACCAATTAAAAGATTATCATTCATTGATTGATTTGTAATTGATTGATTTGTTATTGATTGATTTTTAATTGATTTAATTTTTGTAGTTTTTTGAAAATTTGGATTTAAAAAATAATTAGCTATATCTATACCCCAAAGATTTTTTAAAATTAATTTATAATCATCATCATCGGTATCTTCAATTAAGATCTAAGAAAAGAAATAGGTTATTATTATTATTATTATTATTATTATTATTATTAGTGACTTTGATATAATATAGTATTCATATAGTATAAAGTACTTGAACATTTTTTTCCTTTTCTTATTTCTTAGTTGATCCTGATGATCATTGGATCTATTGTGAGATAGTAGATTCACTGAAGTTAGATATTAACAGTGTTGAGTATTGGCTGTATGATCTAGAGGTTAAGTGTTCGCGGAAAAGATCTATAAGTTTTTGGGTTGAAATCTTAAGAGGTGAGATTGTGAATACACACTGCTGAGGAGTTCTATACTAAGATTAAACGGTTGTCCAATAATTCTAGGTTTTCTATGGTGGTCTGGCTTCAATTATTAAATTACTATAATCTTTGCTAAACCTCTGTCTGATTATAATCATCATATGCTCATTAGTGACTGTCTACAAGAGTTATCTCCTAGAGTTCTAGTGAGAAACAGTGACCAATGGAGTTTAAATGGGTCTGTTGTGAGAAAGTAATTCATTGAAGACAAAGTTGGATAGTGGTGCAATTTCGTGGATTGGTTGAAGTTAGACATTAATACCGCTTGGTGCTTGCTCTGTGATCTAGAGGTTAAGTGTTTGCACGCGAGAACGATAGGTTCTGGGTTTGAATCTAGTGAGGTGGGGTCGTGAATGTACACTGTTGAAGAGTTCCATGCTAAGACGAAATAGCCGTCCAGTGCTTCAAGGTTTTTTTACGGTGATATAGCTTCAATTAACTCATGAATTCAATTAATAAATTACTATAATATCCACAAAACTCTATTTGATTAAGATATCGAATGGTCACCAGTTGAAAGTTAGCAGTTCAGTCAATCGACATCCAAATAATGCACATACCTTTCGCTTCACATTACCAGCAACCACTATGTCTCTGATTGGGCTTTTCTCTAACTTTTACAGCGGAAGGCTGCACACTTTTTGTAAACCCAACTTAATAGGTTATGTGATTTATAAGCATAACGATGTGTTATAACAAACAAAAACAGATAATGTGTTGAAATATCTAAAGGGAAGGATCAAATAGCCTAGATATTCAAGTAGGCCACTAATTGCTATGTAAAACAAAAGTACATGTTATCCTTGACTAATCTTGTGACCTTGAGCAACCAATCGGAATATATACATTTGTACATGTTGATTTTAGAAAACAGAAACTTGTATAAATAGTTTTACAACAATAATCATGTAAATATTTCCTAATCATTAAATGGTCAGTCTCTTGGATAGTAAGAGCTCTGAACGGTAATTAGTGAACTATATGGATGGGTTCTGAAATTTTAAGATTTCTATCTCATTTCTACAGAGTAAATTACTGTCAAATGTATTCATTCTTTCATGAGTCATACATCATGTAACTAGTGGATATGGAGAATCAACCTAGGGGAGTTGGAAAACCCTGATTCTTAACCAATGGTGCACATGGGCTACAGTACCTTGAAGGAACAAATGGCTTATGAATCAACAATTGGTCACCGACTACCATGGGACTGCATCTCCTAACGTTGATCCACTGCCTTGTGAATTATAGCTTTGGGTTGAAGGCTCCGAATGTGGTCAACTAAGAAAACCACGTGCTTTGGTCTGGGTACCCGAACAGTATCCCAGCCCTCACACAGATCAAAAGACTCGATGTGGTGCATATCTGTTTGATGCCTCATTGGACAAATGTTTGTGTTTAAATAAACATGAAATTAAATTAGACATGAAATTAAATGGCTCAGATGTATTTATTCTTTGTCTTTCCATTGATGTTAAGTTCTAAAGTTGACGCATGAATTTAATTCCGCAAACTTATTCTTCCTCAAATTATACTATGAATATCTAGTCTTTTCTACTATTACTGATGTTATTAATACTTCTACTAATCAGGCATTCATCTTCATAATTTCATTTTCCTGTGCTGATATGACTGGGTAACCTGAATTAGTATTATTATTAATGGCTTTGATCAATATTATATTTTGGTACAATATAGAATTCTCAGCACAGGGTAGTTCAAAAAGTTTCTTACACAAAATAACGCTAGATGATCGGAATCGATAGTCATCGGGAAGCCTTATAAAGGATAGATCAGTTCTTTGAATACTGTAGAAACTTTAGTCCATAGCTTCCCGTTAGTTCCTTCAAACCGTCAAATATCAGTCAATTACTTTTGATAATCAGGACGACACCATAGTACTTTAATTATCTCTCTGACACATATAACTGACTGACCGATGAGGTGATAAAATTAATCACTTGTTACAATTATTCAACGTGTTTAACCCAGAATATTATGGCGCCGAACATATAAAGATGTGTGGATGAACCGATGTTTTCAGAGATCTATATGTGAAATGAATAATATCTCAACTATAACCAGCTATGTTTTAACATCTGCTTAACTGGCTTGGTAAGAAATTGGTTTTTCGTGAAATAAAAGCTCAACAAAACTTATGGATTATCAAACAGATAATATGACAAGTGAGGATTATCAAAGGTTAAGATCAAGTCTGTTTTAAAAACGTTTCTAAATTTCAGTCCATCTGCACTCAAACGATATTGAAAGAAAGATTCCCATAACGTACTTTTAGAATCATTTCTGTAATGTCCTACAATCGACCAATACGCATAGATGACTTTGAGCAACCAATATGCAACAAGTGACTGATACTCTATGCTTGACGGTTGGCCCAATACTGTCTAATTCCGAACAAAGAGGAAGAACACGAGACAAATGATCGTCAGTCCAAGATTATATATATATATATATATATATATATATATATATATATATATGCAAGACCAGAAGATGCAACAGACTTATTGAGTAACAGTACTAACACTGAACAACAGCAGTAATGATGACAAAAACAACGTACTGGGTATATAAATAACCAATTCTAGTTTATGAGTAGGAAATGCTATAGCAACAGTTTACAATTCAAATGAAAACTTGAAACTAGGGTAGCAAGAAAACAATAAAACCGAAGTACCTAGTAAATATGCAATCAATAAATTTTGCCTAATATTTTCGGCATTGCCTTTATGATATTTTGGCTTGGCTAGGTTTTTCAAGTTGTTATTATTATCGTATTTGACTGACAACTTACCTTTTCCTCAGATATTTTTTCACTGCATTCGCAATTACCGATATCCTCCTCTTTCAAAGTTTCCGTTGTCATTTGGCTTTATATAAATTCTGATATTTGGTAATCGTATAGTTTTAAATTCATAGAAAAGCACTGTTTTGAAGAAGATGAATAAAGAAGAAACGTAGGAAAATTGATCAGTTACATAAAACATTTCACATAAATACACTAAATGTGACATTTTATGGGGCATTTAGCACAATAACTAGTGATTAGTGAACTGTGAAAGTGACATCTTGCTTGCGTGCTGTACTACACTGATCTTATTAAACTCAATGACCAAGTACAGACTATGTACCCTTTTTCTCGCCATATTTTTATTGTTGTTTAAGAGCTTGTGATATTATTATCAAATGTAAGGTGAATCAACCATCAAAATGCTGCTTCTTTTATCTGAATGTCTCACTACCAACTAAGAGTGCGTAAAATATACAGTTCTATCAGGGGAGGACAATCGTGAACTAAGATTAGTCGGATATCCCTTACATATACAGAGACTGGTCTTGATTGACACTTAGTCATGGAGTTGATTATGAACTGATTTGGCTCACCTGAATTGAATTAATAGTGTTAGTGATGGAATTTCGTTGCTTCGGTGTATGATGTGTCTTTAAGACACACACTTAAGGTCCAAGTGTAGTAATTCACTCGATTTAACCCAACTGACGCGACTTACCCTAGATGCATCCCAAAGTAGCAACCCCCCTCGACTATATTTATGTTCCAAACTGATGTGCTCTATACACAGACATACCAGACCACATTAGACAATAATATAGAAAGTACTATTTATACATAAACAGGCCAAGACCATCTATGATCAGGAAAGACTCTGAGTAATAGACTGGGAACAAATTAAGAATAGTAAATCATATAACAGCAGTTAGTGAGTTAACAAAAGACTTTCAATAAATGGAAAATAAATACATAGAAATCTAGTTACGCAGTAACTACTAAACAAAGGTATGACTGAAAATAGTTCAAAAACCAGTCTTTAAGTGCTACAACATTTGTTTCAGTAAACCTAAGATATTTTTAAACTACATGATGCCCGATAACCACTCTCTCGAGATATTCATGTTAGATAGCGTCTCCACGTCCAAACTGTTGGCACAGTAAATAAAACCTTTAAAATGAATTTTATTTATTGTCTACCTGTTAAAAAGTTAAGAGGACTTACAATTATTTTGGTGAATTATCGTCTAGCTAAGAGATGATGAACAGTCAGAATCTAATAACACTTATCATACGATTTAGACAACATAATGATTTTCTCGAGAAAGCAAGCCAAAGAGTCGAAAGAAACAGGAGGATATAAACAATGGTAAAATAATTTGCTAAATTTGATATTAATTCAATTAACAAATTTCATTACATTCTATGAAACCAATCCCACAGTCTGTGAAAATTATTTATTAATCACCAAATGTTATCAAAGCCTTAAGTGAAACGGACCACACAAACGTAATGGTCAAACATCTTGAGTGACCATATTTCGGCAAACATTTATTCAGCATGTCAGCCAATATATCGGCTTAAAAACATACTGAAACACATTACGTGTGAAAAATAAACTGCTTTCTGAGCAATCCCTTTTAATCATTTACCTTTGAAAATGCTATAGCTCTTAAGTCATAAATCTCATAAGAATATTACGTTCTTCATAACAAAATAAAATAACTCACGAGTCTGTGGCCAATGGATGAAGTTAATGCATGTATCTACTAAAACAAGTTCAAAATTTTGAAAATTCAGGCTGCACAATAAGGTCCTGGTATTGAATATCGTTTACTGTTTTCCGTCCACAAAGTACCTTAATGTGCAGTTAAACATTCAAATATGTGCGATGCGTTGTCATAATGACCGTCAAGTAAAACTTGTTATTCATAACCAACTTGTATCTGGAAAATTTTTGTAAGGAGCTATTATGAATCGAGCGATTATATTTTGTTCAGTTTCGGCACGATAACAGGTCCTTCGTAGCGCTCATTGAAAGTATTTCAATCACTCAGTTGCAATTATCTTAGTGAATTCAACAGGTATTTGTTGATTGACACATCGTGAATTTAAGTAGACGCATTTTTGTGAGACAGTAGAGCCGCTCAAGCGATTGCCAATCGCGTTACAGGTCAGGAGAATGGTTGGTTGAAAAGTGAAAAGTCTGAAATTAGAATGCAGTTGAGTAAAAATAAAGGTGAAGAATTAACCATCAATCAGTTGAACAAGATAATAAATATATTGGAGTTCATAGACATAAGAGTGAGTGTATGTTAAGCCCCCCCCGTTTGTGATTTTGATGTTTATCCCAGCGATAATGAAATGATACACCAACGACAGTAACATGGGAGGGATATAAGACCACTCTGAAAATAGTTTCATCTGTCCTCACAAGTGTACCTTATCCCTCCAACATAGGTATGAGCAAACAAGCGACCATGAGAGCCACAATCCGAGCGCCAACTATTGCATAAGCTTCAGGAATAGCCACCGATAAACAACTTCGAATAGCCGATAGCTTCAGACGCTTTTGGGTTATTACAAAGTCTCAGATTATGAAAACAAAGCGCAGACTGTTAACTTGCCCTACTGCACCAAGGAAATCGAATTCCAGACTTACATAAAGAGTAAAACAAATTAAACGTGCTCGATAGCTTTGTTTTCTCTATTGCTCCAGTCGCGCACTATTTACTAAGGTTATTTTCTTTCCTAAAAGGGCTCACTGGCTTCCCTTCTTTCGTTGGGCGGGACTAATTAACTAATGAAGCACTTCAAAGAGACGAGAATACCCTGAATCATGCCGCCACGAGAAAGCACCATCATTACACCCCATGGTCGTAAAATTGGTGAAGGCTAGCGGTGCATTAGCATCGAGGATTAGTGAGAGATGCTATTCATACAGCTATTCTACAAAACAAGCATCAAGCATAATGCACGCCTGGAGAGAGAATATTTTGGGTTGGCGAGGCACAGACATAAAGGAGAGCTTGGGATAAGTGGAAAGTTTTCATCAACGATTTTAATCATAGCTCTACATTAGCATCTAATGCAACACTAAAGTTTAGATCGACAGGAAATATTCTCACACCAAGCCAAGCCAGAGTATCGCTAAAGGGTTGTGACCAAACGAAAACATAACGCTAAGGATCTCATAAATTTAGAGATGATCTGAATCTTTGATGCCAACTTCGCGGATCAATTAAACCAGAACCCTAAAGCATGAAACACTACTCAACTCCGGTTCATAATTATAACCTAAAGAACATCTGTCTGACTGCTGGCTTTGCACTAAAAAAGCTAGTGAACGAGCATACAAGTGGACATAATAGAATATCTTTGGACGCAATATTACGGAATCTTTTCGTAAAATCTCAGAATCATACATTAAATACATCATTTGCAAAATGTTAATCAATCGTTTAAGACTTCATTGTTTTTTTTCGTTCCCACATCAATCATTCACTATTCTCGTTTTTTTCTCTTCGATCTTCTTAACCACCTACCTCCAGTCATTTGACCTTCGAGTGATAGTGTATGCCACTTACACCTGTCGACATCAATAGCACATACCACAGGACTACTGTACCTATTAAAGTGATAAGGATGCGACAACGTATGTCCTGTAATCCTATACAAGTGGGTGAAAGCTCTCATTACACTGGTGTAAGACATTTCGGGCACATACTAGAGTCATAGAAATCCATGAAATATGACAATGATTTTCACAATCTCCAATCTTCAAAGGAACAAAGAGGGAGGAACCTAAGCGGTAGTATTAAGTCATGTGCTTTTCACAGGTTGAAATGATGAGTCAGGATGATGGGTGGGCTGGTCAATTTTAAAACGAGGGACTGCATATTACACAAATACTCTAAAGCCTCCATGAAAATCCACCCCGATCGTATTTTCACAGCATGGTCTTTGGCTACTGACTACAGAGGGCTTGGGCACCAGCTCAAACTTCGTTGGAGACTTGGCCTAATCAAGCACTGCTTTCCCCTTTATGCAATGATAACTCGGTGAAATCAACTCCAAATTGTTCTTGAAGCTGTTGTTGAAGTACCCACGGCGTCATTTTGAAGTTTAAAATGTTTTTGTTTCTTTCTCTGCGAAAGAGACTGAAATCTTTTAGACTGGGTTAAAAGACAACCTACTAAGTGGGTGATTGTGCCAAGTGATTAACCCCATAGAAACAGACTCCAATACTAGACTTTATCTTTAAGCTGAAAATAAATAGAAGGCGTTTTAATCATTTGTAATTTGATCGTAGAAAATTCAGTAAGTTCATCAAGTCATCCCAACAGAAGGATCCTACCACAACACCACCATTTCCTTCGAAGATACTACCAAATTTCAAACATCAAACAACGAAGAGCCAGGTAGGCTCTCATCTTTCGCATTATGTGTTAGTTTATTTGATATACTTTCCCAGTAGAGGCGACCACATCACCTCAATGGATAGCTTGAAGAGTAGGGTTGTTTTATCTGTATAGATATCTGTATAGAAATTTTCACTCACTTTATATATTTAATAACTTTAAACAATATCTAATCTGTAGACTCATATTGTAAATTAATAATCATGCTTGTAAAAATACCGTATACCTGCTATGCATTTTTATCATTCGCGCCATTCATATTATCATGTATGTGCCATTACCACTGTTATTCTGTCTTAGAACGTATCGACCTGAGCTACTGACGACTGTAAATCCTGCAGCACTTGTAACATTTTGATTTGTCTCGTAATCTGACATGACTTCTGTAACATTTTTTTATATGGAGATTGTAGGATCCGTTTTGAAAGTTTTGTGTGTGTGAAAATCCCTCCATGTGTATACCTACACTTTGTTCCTATTGATCCTCTTAGTTGTACATTGTCAACTTTTTGACTACACTTGAATTGTTATAATTTGTATTTTATTGTAGTTTTTAGTTTTATTACGCCTTCACTAAGTCTCCATGTTTCTTTCCGAACTGCGCTTATGTTGTTTTACTTTATACTTAGTCTCGGCGACAGCCATATTGGTTTGCTCCTCCTTTTGATTGCTTTACCTGTGTTGACTGGAATTGTGCATTTTTGGTTGTGAATTGAGGCACTCTTCTCGAATTGGAAACATCGTGTTATAAAACGACCAAGTATTATTTTTTGAATGAATCTGTGCGTCGTCTATCCAGACAGGGTAGGATAACATTTATTTGTTGTAATTGATTTGATCAATTGAACAATTATTGGTTGGATAGCTGAGTGGTCATATGTGTTTAGAATCGACTTTTTACCCAATTACTTTGTTTAGGTTTCAAACGGGCAAGGGCGCGTATCTAACCCACCTGGTCAGCTGTCCATCAGTCCAAACCTTAGTTTGGATCGTATAGAGATAGCTTTGCAACAGTTAAAAAAAACACATGAAGGGTGAATCACTTTAAAGTCACAAATGATGGTCGTTAGATAGTCTGATTTCCCAGCAAGTTCTAGAATCTGATGGGAACTGATAAATGAAGCACCCGAAACATCTAAACGTCGTCCAGTTTACTACACTTTATCAAAACATTTTCACGATCTCGTATGATTCCAAGTATGTTTAGATTAGTTAACTGCAAACTTCAAGGAAATAAGGGCATTTTCTTTAATCGATAGCACCATTATACTACGCGACCTGCTTTATAGTCTTATTTCAGCAACTGGGTACATTCAAATAGAAAACGTTTCCGAATTCAGCGCGTCTCATTCTTAGCCGCCGTGGCACCCTAAGATGTCACATATATTCAGAGTTTGACAACACTTTTTTCGAAGGATATAGCTTCAGTCAAGTCGGAAGTCAGGAATGAATGAGTTCGAAGATATTGTTGGGAAGTTGTTGATGTGTTGAGAAACGTCTTACCTAAGCTATTAAGTAGTTGCAAGGGATGCGTAGCATGGCGTACACACACGTGATCTGATGCCTTCAGTTAGGACGAGTTTAGTAAATCTAATGAGGCCAGAACCATTGTCGAAGACCTACAGAACTGTTTATCACTGAGATTCACGTACCACCACATACCTTTGTTACTCAAACACAAGAACCCTGAAACTCAGTGTAGCATATCTGAGACCGCACCCACGATATACTAGTACACCAGGTGATCGTTATCAGATGAAATACCTATGGTTTTATGGAACGTAAACAATTCCAAACAAAAATGGAGCGCAAAACGGGTAGAGAAACACCCTAACATAAATTACAACAGTGTATTAGTAGAAGTGGCATTATTCACAACATAACCTTGACAGGACATAATGAAAAACCAACTTAACATAGCTCACACTGTCTAAAGCAAATTATGAGAATGTAGTTAAAAGTAAAGGAAACTCGAACGAGACTCCATGCCCACAAAGCGCAGAACGTAACGCGACATCCATAGTGCCCTAAAGTGATCTCGTAAATATTTCACATTCTGCGATTACCACGCGGATCTGGTTGGTTGCCCACGTGAGCGGATGGAACCTGTAATATGGTCTATGGACTGGCTGTGCCTGATTCAAATCTCGTAACTAATTTACACTATAAATACCTCAGATATTAACCTTACTATTATTTCATCTATTATCATTTTTTCCTCAGCTAGTCCTGCACTTCGGTTTTCCCACAACGTTTGCATTATTTGTAAATCATCTTGTTCATTAAATTGTTGTTTGAAATAATTTTATGCTTATTGATTTTCATGCTGCAACCAACCGGCCTACTGCCTGAAAATCTGATGCCTGCTTGCCCCGGAAATTTTATTGCTGAGAGTAAAGGGCACACCATCAAATCACAAAACATACCAATCCAAAAATATGTTCGAAAATGACCAAAAATCGTTCAGTGGAGTAGCTAGATTGCCACCCCTTGAACATTAATAAGTATGTAGAGCCTTGCCAAAACCTAAAGAATTGAGAAAAAAGAAACCAATCAATTCATGAAAATTAGTCACATCGAAGCTGGATATATTTCATATTTGATATTGTTGTTTGGAGTGCGCTTAATTTGAGTTGAGCGTTGCGACTTGCTCATGGTTTGTTTTCATATGTAATTAAGCTGAACTCTATGGCTCATTCGAAATATACATTTAACTCATGTCATTATTAATGTCTTACGTGGCGTTTATTGTGTGTTCACACCGCTTGAATACCGAAAGTTCACCATTTTCTGAATCATTATTCCAACGCGTCACCCATTTTATTTCTGAAATCTTTGAGTATATCTTGAAATAAGTTCAAAAAAGCATAGGAAACTTGCTCGAAAGCGTTTGACCCTAATTGATTTCTAATGGATGGCTTACTGATAGAAGTATTTTTTCTTAGAATCATGAAATTTGACTAAACCTTGAAAACATGCACTTTATTTTCATAAGTTTTTTAAGACTATAAATTTCCAATTTCTACTACCGTCAGTATTTTGAACTTTATAAACCTCAGAATTACAGTTTTATTTGCCGTCAAGATTTTTTAGATGGGGATAGTGAACCGAGTTTGGTTCCGAAGATCTTGGAGGCTCTATCTCATTCTTAAACTTTCAAGCCATCCTTGGATCATTCAAACCGTAATTGGATGTAAACAATTATAGTGTAGACAATTTCAGAGTTGACAGAATTGCGCTTAACAATGTGGCATAAATGTTTCAAGTTTTGCAGGGATTATATTTTCTGAAAGCCCCTCAAAATTTCTCTAACAGAATTATAAAGATGTAGTGTCTAAATTGTGATGGTCGCATGGTATCTTTAATCCTTACGTTCAAATTCTGTCAATGCGTTGTTTCATTGCTCTGGCATTCTGGGAGTTATATTCAACATCACAGTCATTTTCTTTCTATTTTCTAGTGTCATCATTCTGGGTTTTAGTTTTGCTGCCGATGTACAAGTAGATAAATATATGTATACAGCATTTTAAGTATCTCACGTTCAAATCGTATTGTGTTCACTGTTCAACTACGATTTTACTGTAAGACCGGTTTTGAATTCAACCAAACGTTACAGCATTAATTTGCTGAAGATGTAGGAACACGAGTAATTTCGCAGAAAAATTATTTTAAAAACTGGTGTTTGAAGAGTAGTATCTCTTTTGATTCTTCATTTGTGAGCGAAGCCAGAATATAAATTTTTAAATGATTAAAAAGGTAATTAATCAGTACAGAGTTCTTTGTACGGACGTCTATGGTATTCACAATTGCTGCTTATGAAATTGTCAAGATTTCTTAACCCGACATTTACTCTTGTTTTTTATCTTTTAGGTAGTCATTTTCCACCGAGCTCCATCTACTTGAATTGGTCTTTCTCACACAGTAAGTACTTTTACTAGCAAACAAGAAATGGATGGAATCGTCACGTATGAATCCTCTTCCTCTGATGATGACATTTCCAAACAAGATACTGCCCCAACACAACTTTTAAAAAGTAGTTTAATTAAATCCATCGATGTTGCGCCAGTTGTGGAGCACAAGGTAATGTGTATGAATGATAATGTGATTGGTTTTATTTTTAGGATGAGTTTCTATCTCTTGTACCTGTTGATCCACAATCTCATGAACTTATTCATAATCCTACTTATGAAGAATTATTCGCACCATCTGTAAGTGTTCTTTTTTTGATGTAACCTACTTTTATCAGTTCGGTCCAGTCAATCCGTTTAAATCTGAAAAACAATTGGCTCCTAAAAATACTTTAACTGGATATGTTGAAGAGGCTCACGTTAATAAGTTTGCTTTTGAAAACCAGCATAGAACTTTTATGACTTATGGTGAGTTTATGGTAATTTAATTTCTATTTATTTATAATAGGTTATGCAGCAGATCCTTCTGTTGAAGGAGGTGCTGATCGACGTTTAGTTGGAGAGACAGAAAGCATGACAGAAAATGAAGGTGAGGTTGATATGAATATTTGTACATATCCTTTTTTCAAATATTCATTGACTTATCCTACAAACACCAGTATTAAATGTCTTTGAAGTCCTGACCTGCTAGACTGTGACGTGTTTTCAGGTTCACACTGCCTGATTAAGGTGTTCGGAATCGTTGTGAATAATGGTTAGAGACGTTGGATTGCATGACTCACAATTAATCAGTGGTGCAAATACAATCAGTCGTCCCCTTCCCGTGGGTCCTGGGTTTTAGGTCCTTAATAAACCTTTTGTCCCACAAATTCACTCGCTCAGCCAGTCAGTCAGTTAGCTACAACGTAGGACCAGGCACATATGTGCATCGGTCCAGGTTGCCATACCTCATTTGCACAGCAAGATGAACACCGGATTCATAAGAGTGGTTAGGTCAAAGGTGGTAATATATAGGAGAAAGATTGCAATAAGGATATAGTATAGCAAGAAAGAATTAGTTAGTAGAAAGAAAGATTTGAAGTGATTTTGATCACTTAGTTTAAGGGAAGACAGGGAGTGTATACACCGACGCCATTGTGATCGATTCTGAGCCATGTCACCAAGAGTCTCCAACCATTGGTGATGATAATCACGCGGACCCCAACCAAGTAGTCTGCATCCACCAACATGGCTCAGACTAGAAATTAGTGACTTCAAGCACTGATGCCACGTTTTGGTTTGGCCGCCCCTAACTTTCTTCCAACCATTCCGAACACCGGTTAGCATTGCACGTCGTGGTAATCGGTGTTCAGGCATACGTAACACGTGGCCCAACCGTCTCAGTCGATAAAGATTCACAACCTCATCGACTGATTTACTATCATTCCCTAATACCCTGCGTCTAACCTCGCTATTACTTACCCGGTGATCCCAACAGACGCTAGCAATATTTCTAAGGCATCCGTGGTCAAATACTAATAGCTTACGGGTGTCTTCTACTCTTAAGGGCCATGTTTCGCTGCCGTAAAGTAAAACAGAACGAACTGCCGCGCACTATACTCGTCCTTTTATTGATAGACGGATATCTCGCCTTCGCCAAAGGTGACGTAAGCTGGCAAAAGCCAAACGAGCTTTTCGAATCCGTGCTGAGATTTCGTCCGATACCAACCCATTAGGGCTGATCAGACTTCCAAGATAAGTGAAGTTGTCAACGCGTTCGACTACTTCACTCCCTATCCTTAGTTCAGGTGTTGACGCAGACCAGTCCTGAAGCAACAACTTGCATTTAGAGGGAGAGAAGCGCATCCCAAACATTCTGGCATTGTTGCTTAGTGCTACCAGAAGACTGCATTTTGTCAGCGTCTTCACCAAACAGAACTATGTCATCTGCGTATTCTAAGTCGATAAGTGGACCTCATGGTAGGAGATCAATACCCGAGGATTCAATCGACGAGTGTTATTTCCATCAATAGGTCTATGATGAAGTTAAACAAAAATGGAGAAAGTGAGCAGCCTTGACGGACACCACTTGTGGTTGCAAAAGTAGATGACAGTTCGCCATAAGCCCTGACTTGACTAGTAGTGTTCGAGTAAAGAGCCTTTACAAGGTTTATGTACTTCTGGGGTACGCCTTTCAATGACAGACACTGCCACAGAGTCTCGCGGTCTACAGAGTCAAATGCTGCCTTTAAGTCAAGAAAGACCACCATCGTCGGACGCCGATAAGTATGCCTATGTTCTAGAACCTGACGAATGGTGAATATTTGGTCGATGCAGCCACGACCAGGTCTCAAGCCAGCTTGGTTCTCTTGTGTTTGCAGTTCACGAGTCTTAGTTAGGCGTTTGATAATTATCGAGGCTAGTATTTTAGATACTATATTTGTTAAACTAATCCCTCTGTGGTTCTCACAGGATGATTTTGACCCTTTCTTATATATTGGGACGATAAGTGCTTGCGACCAGTCAGATGGGATAACGTCTAATTCCCAGATCTTAGCTAAAATATTAGTCAACCTAATCGCTAAAATTGGACCACCATTGAACCACCACCAACTGCCCTTTCTCGTTTCAGATTAGCTATAGCCTTTTGAACTTCTGCTAGAGTTGGGGGACCTACTTCAATGTTCCATTCACATTGTCTGGGAATGGAGGGTAGTTGTATAGTAGCTGAAGGCCAGTTGAACTGTTCTCTGAAGTGTTCCGCCCATCGTTCTAAACGTCTGAACTGGGAGCAGATGAGAGTATCGTCTTTTTCCGAAATACTCTCACTTACACTTGACTTATTAATTCCAGTTTCTTTTATTAGTTTGTAAAGCTGTCTTGTGTTCCCTATAGTCGCCGCCTTTTCCATCTCTTTTGCTTTCGTTACCCACCACTGCTCACGGTGGTTCCTTAGACTTTTTCTTAACCTAGATCTGATTTCTTTACGCTCTTCATCATGTTCGGAACCTAATGGGACCAGTTTACGAGAATCCATCAATGTGATAGACTTTGAAGAAATCCACTGGTTCTTTGTAACTCTGTGGTTTAAGTCACTAATTGATTTCATTGCTGCTTCCACAGCTGCTTGTATGTCTTTCCAAGCAACATCTGGGTCAACCTCTTTTTCAGAACTACCTAAGTGTGATCTCAGTTGTTCCTGGAACTTACTTTTGGTTTTCTCGTTACTCAACTCAGTTCTAATGGGTCTTTTTAATGTGGCTTTTTTGCGTCCAGTGAGGCGCAAGCAGATGCGTGCTCGTATTAGGGCATGGTCGGAGTCCAAGCAGGTACTCCAAAATGAGCGACAATCTTCTACCGATCCTCTCCAACGATGACTGATGGCAATATGGTCTATTTGAGTCCATCGTTGGTTTGGTGTAGGGGGTCGCCATGTTAGACGATGTCTCTCCTTATGCTTAAAATTTGTGTTTGCCAAAAATAAACGATTGTCTGAGCATAGTTGCAGCAGACGATCACTATTATCTGTTCGCTGTGTCGGAATACTAAAATATCCACCTAAATGCCTTTCTGTTTGGTTTAAACTACCTATCTGAGCATTAAAGTCACCCCCTACGAGTACTATGTCTGAGCGTTTAGCTTTCTGAAGAAGTTCAGATAACTTTCTGTAAAATTCATCTTTCACTTCATCTGAGCTGCAGTCAGTGGGAGCGTAGGCAGAAACGACAGAAAGGCAACGACGTGTGTCCCTGTCCTTCCAAGTTCTTACGGAGCCGTTTAGCCGAACAGCACATAGACGACTGTTGACGGGAATCCACTCTAGCAGTGCTTGTTCCGCCCTCATGCTTAGTGCTATGCCTACATCTGCCAGTCCACGAGAACTGGCCATCGGGTCACCAGATACACGAAGGGTGTTGGCTCTCCGTTTTGCCGAGGTGAGGTCAAGTGAATAATCACATTGGAATCCTGTATGCGTGTTTCGGAGACACAGCACACGTCAATGGTAAGAGACTCTAGGGTTTTAGCCAAGGAAGCCTGCTGACCGATTTGACATAGGGTGCGTACATTGAAGGCTCCAATGTGTAGTGTGGAGCGAGGTTTCAGTAGACCTGGGACAGTGTTTTGAGCACTAGAATCGTTGGCTATGGTGACACTTGAGGGGGAAGCCGAAAAAAGAAGTTTAGAGTTTGAATTTGATGTAGGAGGAATAATAGGAATTGAAGAGGGAGGTTGATTATGAATCCAGTGGTATTGAGTGCTGTTAGAGGTATGAGAGCAGTTATCACTTCCCGGTTGCCCACAACGTGGAAGGGTTCTTCTGGAGGTACCTGAAAAGGAAATTTCCCGACCGTTGTTGCTACCTTGACGTGGTGGTCGGGCTTGCCTATCGTGATGACCCAACCGAGCTATATTGGCTGGAACATATGTTCCTGTAGGTTCTACCATGCCAGGCAGGTCGATTGGTGAACGGTAAGACTAAAAGCAGCAACTCAAAGTCTGAGGGCGAAGTCGTACTGCTGACTGTTCAGAGGTGTGACAGCAGTAAGGTGTTTCCTTCGGACAATCAGCATGACAGCGATGCTGCCTTCCCACAAGGAGGAGTGGGGTTAGAAAAGGTCGACCCTAAAAATGTCACACCTCACCTTACCTCACGGATTTCCGACTCCGGCGGTAAGGCCCTTTGAAGAACGGAGCTAACATGTCAAAAACCTTCTACAAAAAGGCCGTGCGCGACCGGCCTCAAGCAGTTGTCCCTTGGGCTCTGCGGTCACGCTCCCAGGTCGTTAAGACCAACACTAATCCAATTTCCTTTTCAGGTTCCTCAAGAAATACCATTCCACGGTGTGGGCAGCCGGGAAGTGACATCAGCCCTCATACCCGTAACAGCACGCGAGACCAAGTTGGTCACATTCAAATCCTTTCTACACCTAATACTCTCTTATCTCCATGACTAACCCTCCTCACGTCTCTTTATCACCTCGCACCGCTAGGGCAAACGATTCGAGTACGTGGAACGCTATTCCTGGTCTCCTGAAACTACGCTCTAAACTACACGTAGGAGCTTTTAACGTACGAACACTGTGCCAAATAGGACAGCAGGCTTCCTTAGCTAGGACTTTAGAATCTCGCGCCATCGATGTGTGCTGCGTCTCCGAAACGCGCATACAGGATCCAAGTAGCATCATTCATTTGACCTCTCCATGCCAAAATAAAGAACCGACTCGATTTACGCTTCGTGTATCTGGAAGCCCTGATTCTGCTTCCCGTGGCCTCGCCGGCGTAGGTATAGCATTGAGTCCTAGGGCAGAACTAGCTCTCTTAGAGTGGATCCCAGTAGACAGTCGTTTGTGCGCTGTCCGACTGAACGGAACAGTAAGAATCCGGAAAGATAGGGACACTCGTCGTTGCCTCTTCGTCGTCTCTGCCTATTCTCCCACTGACTGCAGCTCAGATGATGTAAAAGATGAGTTTTACAGAAAGCTTTCGGACCTTCTCCGAAAAGCTAAGCGCTCGGATGTAGTAATAGTGGCCGGTGACTTTAATGCTCAAGTAGGTAAACTAAGCGATAGGGAAAGACACCTGGGTGGATCTTATAGTATCGTGGCTCAAAGAACAGATAATGGCGACCGTCTGTTGCAGCTATGCTCAGATAACCGCCTGTTCCTTGCAAATACTAACTTTAAGCATAAGAAAAAACATCTTTTAACATGGCGACCCCCTAATTCGTCCCAACGTTGGACCCAAATAGATCACATCGCTATCAGCCACCGATGGAGGGGCTCGATAGAAGACTGTCGCTCATTCTGGAGCACATGCCTAGATTCAGATCATGCTCTAGTGCGAGCGCGTATTTGCTTGCGTCTTACTGAACGTAGGAAAGACGCTGCAAGGAAACCTCTTTGGGGCCTACTTAATGATAGTCAAGCTAAGAGTATATTTCAGGAACAACTAGGAAAACAGTTAGGCAGCCATGTATGTGATGCCCACCCCGATGCGGCTTGGAATGGTATCCGAAAAGCTGTGGAAACAGCAGTGATATCTGCTAGTAAGGTAAATCAGAAGGTTAGGGAGCAACACTGGATCTCAGCAGCATCTATCGGAAACTCATTCCACCTGACTCTGAACATAGTGAAGAGCGGAGTCAGCTTAAGCGCAAGCTGACAAGAAGTCTACGCAATGATCGCGAACAGTGGTGGGTAGCGAAAGCAAGAGAGATGGAAAAGGCAACGGCAATAGGTAATAGCAGACAATTGTTTAGACTCGTTAAGGAAACCGGAATTAGGAACCGGACTGTTAGCGAAACAATCTCAGAGAAAGATGGACATATTATTCATTCTCAATCCAGGAGATTGGATCGATGGGCAGAACACTTTAGGGATCAGTTCAACTGGCCTTCAGCCACACTTCGGTTTCCCACGATCTCCAGTCAACCTGAATGGCAAGTTAATGTAGGTCCTATGTCTCTTTATGAAGTTGAAAAAGCCATAGGAAATCTGAAACAAGGGAGAGCAGCAGGCCCTGACAGGTTTACTCCTGAGATTTTTAAGGATGGTGGTCCAGTATTAGCAATGAGATTAACCGAGGTCTTAGGTAGAATTTGGGAACTGGACGTAATCCCATCTGACTGGTCTCAATCACTGATTGTGCCAGTCTATAAGAAAGGACAAAAGTCCTCTTGTGACAATCATAGAGGAATCAGTTTGACTAATATAGTGTCTAAAATATTAGCTTCAATAATACTTCGACGCCTAATCAAAGCTCGTGAAGAGCAGATTAGAGAAAACCAGGCCGGTTTTCGACCTGGACGTGGTTGTATAGATCAGATATTCACACTACGTCAGGTTCTAGAACACAGACACACATTCAGACGCCCCACAATGGTAGTATTTCTCGATCTTAAGGCGGCATTCGACTCTGTTGACCGTGAGGTTCTATGGCAGTGTTTGTCACTGAAAGGAGTACCAAAGAAGTACATTAACCTTATAAAGGCTCTCTACTCGAACACAATTGGTAGAGTGAGAGCTTATGGCGAACTGTCATCAGAATTGATTACCTCAAGTGGTGTTCGTCAGGGCTGTCCACTCTCCCCATTCTTGTTCAACTTTGTGGTCGACGTACTTTTAGAGATAACACTCTCCTCATCTAAATTTCCGGGGGTTGAACTTCTACCGGGAGGTTCACTTGTTGACTTAGAATATGCAGATGACATAGTTTTATTTGGTGAAGACGCTGACAAAATGCAGAGTCTTCTGACCACTCTAAGCAACAATGCAAGCATGTTCGGGATGCGATTCTCTCCCTCGAAATGCAAAATGTTGCTTCAGGATTGGGTTACATCGACACCCGAACTAGTGATAGGGAGTGAAGTAGTTGAGTGTGTCGACCGCTTCACTTATCTTGGAAGTCTCATCAGCCCTTGTGGTTTGGTGTGTGACGAAATCTCAGCACGGATACAGAAGGCTCGACTAGCTTTTGCCAACTTGCGTCATTTATGGCGTAGGAGAGATATCCGTCTACCAACCAAAGGACGTGTTTACTGCGCAGCAGTTCGTTCCGTCCTACTTTATGGCAGTGAAACATGGCCGGTAAGAGTAGAGGATATTCGTAGGTTACTAGTATTTGATCATAGGTGTCTTCGAAGTATTGCTCGTATATCCTGGGACCACCGAGTAAGTAACGCAGCTGTTAGGAAACGGGTACTAGGTAAGGATGGCAAATCAATTGATGAAGTAGTGAAACTTCATCAGTTGAGATGGCTGGGACACGTGGTACGTATGCCCAACCACCGACTACCTCGACGTGCTATATTCAGTGGTATAGGAGTAGGTTGGAAGAAAGCTAGGGGCGGCCAAACCAAATCATGGCACAAATCCATGAAGTCACTGACAAGTGGACTGGGTCATGTTGGTAGGTGTAGACTACCTGGTTGGGGACCGCGAGATGATAGCAACCGATGGTTAGAGACCCTGAATGACATGGCTCAAAATCGTTTGCAATGGCGCAGGTGCATCCACTCTCTATGTTCTCCCAAATTCTAATCTTCTGAATTCTTCATGTCCCTTTTTTCCTCTTTCCAAATTTATTTCACTGGATTATACGCGTTAAATAACATCTCCAAACCCTAATCTTCCCGATTACTGCTTATACTCTTGCTACCTCTACCACTACGGGATTTGAATCGACCACTGCATCTCTGTGCTAATGTGGTATGGCAACTCGAACTGATGTACGTACGTACGTACGAAGTTCTACGTTGTTACTGACTGACTGACTGACTGAAAAGGAAATTGGATTAAAGGTGGTCTTAGTGACCTGAGAGCGTAACCGCACTGCCCAAGGGACAAGTGCTTGAGGTCGGTCACACACGACCTTGTTATGGGTAGTTTTTGTGTTAGCTCCGTACTTGTTGAGACCTTACCACCGGAGACGGATATCCGTGGGATAAGGCGAGGTGTGCATTTTTAGGGTCGACCTTTTCTAGCCCCACCCCTCCTTGTGGGAAGGCAGCATCGCTGTCATGCTGGTTGTCTGAAGGAAACACCTTACTGCCGTCGCACCTGTACAGTCAGCAGTACGACTTCGCCTTCAGACCTTGGGTTTGTTGCTTTTAGGCTTACCACTCTTCAACCGACCTGTCTGACATGGTAGGACCTTGAGGAACGGTTGTTCCAGCCAATATAGCTCGGTTGCTTCATCACGATAGGCAAGCCCGACCACCACGTCAGAGTAGCAACAACGGTCGGGTTGTATTTCGTATACATAACTTTTCTTATTACCACTGCTGTTATTACTACTTCTTATTATAACTACATCTTAAAAATTTCACCTCGTGCTGATGACAATTTGAACTGATACACGTTTCAGGTTCTATATTGCTTGTAGCTAACGGACTGATAAAGTTCTCTTACACACAAATTCACGAAATACGATATAGTGCCGAATACACGTACTTGTTCTAAGTGATTTTTGTCTTTTTCAAACCTAAGTATAGTTTAAACTTAAGAGTTGTCGCGTTGAACGTTTTTATTGTTTTCACCAAAAAATGTTTCTTCTTGTCACATCTTTCTTTCTAGGAAAAACTGCATTCGAAAAGCGCCAGAAACGAAAAGGTGATCTACGTAAACGTGATAGTAATTGGGATCCAACGAGTGAAGATTATACTGGACCATGGGCTAAATATAAAGATGAAGTAACTGTTTCGGTTCCTTCTGAAGAGGATCGTGTTTATTTGGAAGCATATTTAGCAAAGAAAGCTAGCAAAAGAAAAGTTGTCGAAGAAGCCCCGATTGAAGAAAAATCTACACTGCATATACCAACACCATATGATTATCAGGTCAGCGGACTTTTTGTTCAATAGATTTGTGGAGTATAATGGCTCAGTATTGAAAGTATTTAGCTTTCAGTAACTAAGTTGCGAGTTTAAACGCAGTTACACCTTCGGAAATAAAAAGATAATATGTTTTGTTACAAATTGACCACATTAGGAGAGAATTAAATATAAAGGCAGAATGAACAATTGTTTTATAGTTTGTGATTCCTCAGACCTGGGATCACCGGGTAAGTAATAGCGAGGTTAGACGCAGGGTATTAGGGAAGGATGGAAAATCAGTTGATGAGATTGTGAATCTTCATCGACTGAGATGGTTGGGCCACATGCTACGTATGCCCGAACACCGATTACCACGACGTGCAATGCTAACCGGTGTTCGGTATGGTTGGAAGAAAGTTAGGGGCGGCCAAACCAAAACGTGGCATCAGTGCTTGAAGTCACTAACTTCTAGTCTGAGCCATGTTGGTGGATGCAGACTACTTGGTTGGGGTCCGCGTGACTGTTGGCTAATTCGTCACAGGTTAAACTGATACATTTTCTACGTAGTGTTTGAATTATTAGTAACTGTTATGCACTATATAAAATAGTGATGTTGTGATTTGAGGCACTGAGCACAATGTTCATGTTTGTATCTTTTTCTCAGTCATCCACAATCTAGGACCAGACACATATGCATCGGTCCAAGTTCTCACACCTCATTAGCACAAGAAGGTTAACACCACACTCATAGAAGCAGTTAATTCAATGGTAGTAATATATAAAAGATTATATATATATATATATATATATATATATATATATATATATATATATATATATATATATATATATATATATATATATATATATATAATGTATTTCAGGTCAAGCAGTACTTGTGTTTTCAACATCCTTACCACTATTGATCCTTTAGTCGGCAAAAAAGTAGATTACAAAAGTGATAGAAAGCTGCTCAATGAAGTCATTGGCTTTAAGACTAATCCGTGTCATCGGCAAGTTTGTTGACTTCCTAGTTAAAATCTTCATGATGACTTATCGGTTTTTCGACCTTAGGTGGTAAAATGACTGCAGAAATCGATTGCACTGTCACAAATATGCTTTTTTTAAACTTATATCCCTTTGAATCCTTAGTTCTAATGTTATTTTATTAAGTCCTATTATAATCATCAGCCTTATGTTTTCGATAAATTTTGTTTCACTTTTAATATAATATCCCCGCTTGTAAAAACATAACCTATAAAGGCAATATGGAGTAAATGCATTCAAAGTTACATTCTGTAATTTATGATGTGAATTTTATTAGTTTTCTATATATTGTGTTATGTTTATCCCAACTGATGTTAATGTTGATAGGGTAGAAGTTTCTTGCATGCACCGCATGATATACCGAATGTGAATTTACGAGCAACTGATCCACCAGAAAGATGCTTTTTACCCAAAAGACAAATTCATGAATGGATTAGTGCACATGCACGTGGTGTTGCAGCAATTCGCCTGTTCCCTCATACTGGTCATTTAATGTTATCTGCTGGAATGGATTCAAAGATTAAGGTGGATAATTTATTTTCGAAATGTTTTTTTAAACCAGTTTTAATGGTAAATTTTTATATTGAACTACTATTTTTCACGATGTTTAGGTCTCTCAGTAAGTAAGATGCCTTCGGTATCCTGTAATATCTACATTACAAACTCAGTTAATTTATGATAGAACCAGATCCTATCTCATATTATCCGTGGTTAATCATTTCATCACTATGGGGCAGTGACTCAGAGATTAGACTGCTCGATATTCAACCTCTAAGTCTCAGGTTTGAACCCCGCTCTACCTGATTCAATTTGATCAACTAGGTAGTATCACTAGTCTTTGCACTTAGAGCAAATCTTAGGGTTATGTACACATAAGTCTGTGTGCCTGATAAGTAAATATTTATTCATTACCGATATGGCTGGCTCCACGCTAATAATATAAAAGAATTCGATACTAAACAAGCAATTAGTTTAAACAAATTGACATTATTTACTAGCAGGCTGATTTGTAATAAAAAGCCAACTACACTATTCTTGATGAATTGATTCGCTTTAATGAAGGAATTTCGTAGAAATCTGTTTAGTTTACGTAGAACATACTCTACTGATGGATCAATCAGACATAAGATGTTGGCTCTTGGAGTTATACGTAAAGTCAAAACACCACAAAAGATATTTTGTTAAGCCTAAAGCAATAAATTGTTAAACCTGACGTTTGCAAATAATAAACATGAAGAGACGAAAAAATAGGACCAAACCTAAATGATCATTAAGATGATGAGTTTGGAACAAATGACAGAAATGTAACATCCGAACACGATTTATAAAATTTTCATGAGAACTAATGTGTTCCTAGGATTTGCATTCGAAAGACTATCTGGATATGTGTTCATTAATATTACTACAAAGCATTCTCCTACTCTAGCTCTAATTCTAATCTTCACCACCATTGTATTTGTTTCTAACAAATTCGCTTATGTCACCTAGATCCTGATTAGCTAATCATTTGCTTTGTCTTCTTAGGGTTATCTCGCAAATCACTGGAGGATATTAATAAGTTTACTTCCAATGTAGATAGTGCTCGTAACAGATTGATCTCCGTGCACCACTGAGAGCCAAAAAGAACTGGATAGTTGTCTTAGGTCCTAGTGTGGAACTCCTAAACTATTCCCACATTTATGATTTCACCAGAGGTCGGATCCAAAACCCATATATCTCACTGTAAATTCAATATTCAGACGACCCGTTGAGTTGGAATCCAGTGATACCATAGACAATATGGATGATCGGATAATTAGCATACTGTATCTTGAATAGATTTAAGCTGTAAATTATAACCATTAAGTTGAAAATTAATGGTCTAAATACTAAACACGGTCATCGTGACATCTGAGTGTCGTTTGAGTTCGATTTCATGTGACGCGAAGTATTTTTTCATTTGTATTCTGTTCCATATGTTAATACAAAGCGAATGGTTGAACCAAAACACTGCATCAGTTCATGAAATCATTGACAATCGATCTGAGCCATTTTAATAGGTACAAACTACCTGGTTGGTGTTTACCTGATTACTGTAACCAATGGTCCAAGATTTTGGGTTATACAACTTAGAATTATTCTCAATGATGCAGGCATATTTTAAAACCTGAGTTCCGAAGGCTCTTTATATTTTGTTTTCTTTTTTTGTTCTTAATCTTTCCTATCATCACTGATTCTATTACCACTTCTACTACTTTAGGATTTGTCTTGAAATCATGATTAGATTATTGTACTACATTGACTTTATTTTCCTTTTATTTATATCATTCAACATTATTCATCTTGATAGCTTTGGGAATTATACAAAGAACGTCGATTAATTCGTAGTTATATGGGTCATCGTCAAGCTGTTCGTGATGTATCATTTAATAGTAATGGAACAGCATTTTTAAGTGCATCTTATGATCGTTATGTAAAATTATGGGATACAGAAATTGGTAAATGTACAAATCAATTCAATTTAAAACGTGTTGCTTATTGTGTACAATTTAATCCAGATGAAGATAAACAACATTTATTTTTAGTTGGTTGTGCTGATAAAAAAATATTATGTGTAAGTGGTATATCTGTTTTAATATATGTTAAACTTATTTATTATTTATTTATTTAAACACATAAACATTGGTACGAGGCACCAAATAGATATGTACCATATAAATCATTCGATTTATGTGAGGGTTGGGATACTGTCCGGGTGCCCAAACCGAAACAGATGGTTCTCTTAGAGGCCACACCCGGAGCCTTTGATCTAAAGGTCTGATCCACAAGGTAGTGGAGCAATGTCAGGAGACGCAGTCCCATGGTAGCTGGTGACCAATAATTGGTTCATACACTATTTGTTCCCTCGGGATCCTGGAGCCCATGTACACCATTGGTTTGGAATGAGGGTTTTCCAACTTCTCTAGATGGAGTCTCCATGTCCACTAACCTAATTAAAGCATTGGACATTCGCTTTTCGTCCTCTCAATTTCGTAAACAACACCCCGTGGTACAAGATGCCATCGAGTAGGACTTCCGTGGCAGTTGTTGAATGCGAATGGCCATGTGAGAGCATTTTGAGGGGAAGAGCTGGCACTCGCCACTCACGGTCATACCAGGGCATTTAGGGGCCCTTTTGTTGTATGACTTTTCAGAAATCATTCTCTGACAGGAAGATTCATTTAGTGAATACACAACTGACATTGTTATATTTGATGAAGACAAAACGCAGTTGCTCGATCGCCTTGAATTACGATAAAAGCCTGTTTATGAAGAGTTACACTCTCTGAATGCTAAATGTTACTTCAGAACTGGTTTATATTAGTACTCAAACTAATGATAGGGAGTAAAGTAGTTCAGTACCTAGAACATTTCACTTATCTTGAAAGTCTCATCACTCGTGTTAGGTTGAGTTTTGACAAAATTTAGGAACGAACTCAGAAAGTTCGTTTGGTTTTTACCAAATCGTGCTTCTAATGTCGTAGGTGAGATGTTCATCCACCAACCAAAGGTCTAGCATACTGCTCAGATGTTCACTCCGGTTTACTTTAACGGTGTGAAACATATCCTTTAAAAGTAGATGGCATACGTACTTTACCGGTATTTAACTTTGTGTGTCTTCAATATAGTGCTCGTAAATATTGATCACTCAAGGAACACAGTGGCTAGATTAAATGCAGGCTACTAGGCTAACATGGTGAATTAACTGATCATATGAATCCTCATCGACTGAGGTGGTTGAATCCGTGTATTAGGTATGTCTAGTGTAGGAACGGTCCCCGGTGAACTCAAAGAAGCTCTGAAAGAGCTGAAGAAATTCCATCCAATCGTCTTTTGATAGAGCATTCCAGAATCTCAACGTACAGCTTCCCGATTGGATAAGTGCTAAAAACCAGTGTATACGGATTGGATAACTGTAATGATGATTTCGTTTTTACTAAAAACGGAGTGTTTTGTAACATATTTGACACTGTTGGAATAAGATTCATTCTTTCTCGTCTTCTGTCTTCCAACTTACGACTTGAAATGTTCAAACGTTCGAGTTCTAAAGTTGTACGCGCTATAGCAAGAAATACAAGTTATAGATAAGACACCCAACTATTGTTCACCTCAATGCTGCACAATGATGTCCAGTTCAGGATGAGATTGTATGAATGATAGAGTTCGCCCAAACTAAAACATAGCACCAATCCACGAAAGTCATAGACTGTTGGATTGAGCTATTTCGGCAGGTCCAGACTATGTGATTGGAGTTCACATGATTATCGTAACTAATTGTTGAAGATGTCATTCGTCATGACTCAAAATCAATTATATTAGCTCAAAGACATTCACTCTTTATTTCATCTCAAATCTTTAGTTTTAAGAATTTATCTTCGATGTTCTTCGAATTATATTGTCTATGCTCGATCGGCGAGACTATAATTCATGGACCAGTCAGATTTAGGATTACGGATCTTGAATTTTGTCACGAAATTCACTCACCTGTTTGTCTAAATAGTTGATGTCAGTTCGTGATGAAAAACCTAAATCTAATTCCTAACCTTAATTATCAACTGAAAATCATAATCTTAATTCCTCACACTGATCTATAACCCTGATTCAACCCTAGTAAGTGGGTGAATATTCTCAAGGTAACCTTAGCGTCATTCAAAGGTCGTCCGTAAGCTATAACCTCACCACATAATCTTTCCCATTACCATTATGTTCATATTATATGGTGTGGCAACTAGAACCTATGCGGATGTGCATCAGGTTTTACATAACTTATGAAAGACTTTGTGTTAGCAAGTATAGTACATTGAAAGAGAACTATTTGTTTATACATCAGCAATAATTTTATCCAATAAAGGTTGTATGTTGTTTTCATAGTAATTGCATTTTATTAACAAGGCTTTTCGTTTACTGTTACTTTTTACCTCTTGTTATCTTTTCCATGCACATACATACATATACACAAATTAACAAACAAACAACCCCCCACAAACAACAGTATGATACGCGTAGTGGTGAAGTTGTCCAACAGTATGATCGTCATTTAGGCGCTGTCAATGCTGTTGCATTTGTGGATAATAATAGAAGATTCGTTTCAACATCCGATGATAAATCGTTACGTGTATGGGAATGGGATATTCCAGTGGATTTTAAATATCTTGCTGATCCTTCTCTACATTCAATGCCAGCGGTTAGTGTTTCACCGAATGGTATGTATATATATTTACATATATATCCTGCTTACTTATGATGTATGTTTATTGTTAATTTCATTGGAACGTCAGTGAGATAATAACATATGGACGACCTTTGAGCGGCACTAAAGTGACCTTGAAAGTGTGCACCTAATGACTAGGACTAAATGAGGGTTGTAAAGCAATGTAAGGAATTAGATTTAGGGTTTTCTTCACGAACTGACATCAGTTATAATGCCAAAACTCTTTAACCAAACGAATGAGTGAATATCACATCAAAATCCGAAACCTGCTATCTTATACGTGATTGGTTCGTTCATAAATTATAGTCTCACTGAAACGTCTAACTACACGATCGAGATATGCGTGAAATCGATGTTCTAAACAATGATGTTCTTATTGTTACATAATATATGTAAACTAGTCGCAAACCTCAACTTATAAGGTATTTGTAGCAATTAATTTGTCTGTATGTTTGAAAAGACAATGACTTGACTAGCGTAAATGACAGCCGGTAAGTAGCCGTATCTAAAGTCAACTATGACTATTAACAGTCAAAATAGGAACTAAAAGTGCACAAATATGAAAGCTACCGTGTTCAAACAAACATTCAAGAAATGTACAGAACTGAAAATAACTGTTTCATGGGTTGATGGAAACTAATAACTCCTATTGGTTTATCTAAATATGGAAGATCATTACACAATACACAAAAGTAAATTACACCATACGTTCAAAAATGTAAACGGTCACTGAATATCAATAAGTAGTATAAAATTACACAAAAAAGTGAGGTGAATGAAAGAATAAAGATAGTGCAAACGAAACGAATGGATATATTAAATGTATAGTAATTTGCTTTTCGTGTTACTGTGCGCGTATACATGTGTTTAATGTTGTTTAGAGTAGTAATAAGTTATGAGAAAACTATAGTCGACTAAAGAAAGATATAACATCAGTTTGTGAAGTCATTAATGATCAGTATGCGATTGTGAAAACTGTTGAATCTTATTGATTCCTCAAGTTGTGGTTAGAAGCCGTGACCAGTGGAGTTCTATTACATCGCGTGTGAGGAAGGTATCCATTGAAGACAATGTAGGATGGTTGCGCAATATAATGGGTCTCAGATTAATAGTATACATCACACAGACACTACGTGGTTGGGATCTTTGAAATAAGCATAGTCGGTAATTTGCAGGTGTTGGGTGATATAAATCAAAATCGGATACGGTTGCAGAGATACATTCACATTTTGTCTCTCCTTAACTTCCCTGTTTCTTACTTTACACTATTCAAACTCACCTATAGTGTTCAGTTTTTCTGACTATTTTTGATAATATAATCATTTGGACTCCTTTGCTAATCAGTGTTAGTGTCATCTTTTGTCTAGTGTGGTATTGTAACTTAGCTGACTCAGATATATGCCAGGCTTCATGGTGGTGAATTAGTGGTTGACTGTTTTCAATGGGAACCTAAACATGCTGTTAATTTGAAATCAGGTTTTTCAAACCCACATGAATGGTTCATTTGCATTTCTTAATCCAATTTAAGTCCCAGATATCTCTTTTCTATTATCTCATTTTCATAAAACATTCCCTTGACGTGAAGCCGTTGAGTAGGTTTTCATTGACAGATACTATCGACTTACGGCTGTATGACAGAGGACTGTTTCCACTTCCATTCCAAAGTATTTCTTTTCATTAATCCTGATGTACTCAAAGAGGAAGATTTACTTACTGAGAATTCATTTATCTATTTTAACACATATATATTGGTACAAGGAGGCACCAAATACATATGCGCCACACAAATCTCATTTGATATGTGTAAGAGATGTGATACTTTCCGGGTGCTCACACCGAAGCAGGTGGTTTTCTTAGGGGACCACACCCGGAGCCTTTGACCTAAAGGTCTGATCTGCAAGGCAGTGGAGCATCGTAAGGATATGCAGTCCCATGGTAGCCGGTGACCAGCGATTGGTTCAAACGCCGTCTATTCCTTCAGGATCCTGGAGCCCATGTGCATGATTGGTTCGGAATTGGGGTTTTTCAACTTCCCTAGGTGGACTCTCCATGTCCACCAACCCGGGTAAAGCGTCGGACATTCGCTTTTCGTCCTCTCAATTTCATGAAGAAAACCCGTGGTGCGAGAAGGCAGTGAGTACTGTTAAGTCTTGCTGATTGGACGCTATATTCGTTCCTAAGCTATTCTGATAACCCGCACGCTAGAACTTTGCAGTAAACTGAACACCAGAAAGAAGACGCAAAGTGTAAGAGAAACACTTTACTTCAAGGTTCGTTTTTGTACAGAAAACATGGGTACTTATAAATGTTAACGTTTGTTAAATCAACATCATATTTCGGCCAATCCGTTAACGACATATTATGCTACTGATCAATAGTAGCACGCCACGTTGGAATTCTAGAATGCTTCATCATACTCTGACTGGCTAGGACTCTTCGGCTCCTTTTGGGCCTCTGGAGGCCCCGTTGAAGTTTTCCGAAAGCCGACTCAACACCTCCCCCGAACAAGATTTATTTCTAGGATCTACTTGTAGCGTGACAACTGGGTTGCGGCGGCGTCTCATTATTCTTGTCGTCTGCCTTGTCCGAGGCTTCTTTTCGGTGTTCTTGGGCATGTGTAGCATTGGTGTATCTAAGATTAACTCTAACGGAAAATTCGGCCGGTTATTTTGAGACTGCATCGTTCTTTTGTCCTTATAGATTTGATTTGTGTGTCGAATACATGTTCCAAAAGTTCCTCAGACTCTGTACAAAACTTTTCCCAATTTTTGTACAACTTCTCCTGGCTCCCATCGGTTCTTCCCGATATATGATTTAATGGAAACTTTGTCGCCAACATTAAAGTTCTGGATATTTGGATTGTGATTGTACTCATCCACTGATTTGGATGGCAACATGGCGTTGAAGACAGTTCGAGTACGCCTTCCGAACATGGCTTCAGCAGGAAACTTGCCATCTGGAACATTCGGGTTTGGAATACCAGAGACCTTAGTAACGGATGAGGGCTCGCAATTCGTCGCAGAATCATTTAAGCATTTCTGTAGAGCAAATGGAATAACTCATCTTCGTTCTCCACCCTATCATCCGCAATCAAACGCTTTGTGGACCCCTCTAAACGAGCATTACTGAAAGGGAGAGGCGAAGGGACGACTGGGCAGGTATTCACGAAGTTTTCAACATCCTATAGATCCATCCCGTGCAGGTTATCAGAATAGCTTAGGAACGAATATAGCGCCCAATCAGCAAGACTTAACAAGTATGACTTCCCGTGCAGTGTTTGTATGCACGTGGCCATATGAGAGCATTTGTAGAGAGAGCGCTGACTCCCCACTCTCGGCTGCATTTGGAGATACACGTACGATTAATGTCGACTAGAAAAATATCCATTTAAAATTCGAAAGTATAAACAAAATATTATTACAAGCAATTTTGATATAACGCATGTTGCTGATGACACTATTATTTAAAGCTGTTTGGGTATTTGAAAATTTCGGTTGGTAATGTAAGCGTCAGTGTTAGAAGAGGGTGATCCATCCATCCATCCATCCATCCATCCATCCATTTATCCATCCAACTAACTATTTATTTACAAAGATTACGTAATACACATAAGTTTCATTACTTCAGTCGTTCAGTCTGTTGTCATTCCTGTTTTAGTTTTTAAATCATAATTCTTTTCTTTATTATTTTTCACAGGGAAATATTTAATTTGTCAATCTCTTGATAATCAATTAGTTGTATTTAATATATTTGCTGGTTTTAAACGTATGCGTAAAAAAATCTTTCGTGGTCATATGGTGTCAGGTTATGCATGTACTGTAGATATGTCACCAGATATGCGTTATGTAATCTCTGGCGATGGTGATGGTTATTTATGTTTATGGGAATGGAAAACAACTAGATTATTAACAAAATGGAAAGCACATGATGGTGTATGCATTAATTGTGCATGGTTACCACATGAAACATCGAAAGTAATTACTGCCGGTTGGGATGGGAATATACGTCTTTGGGATTAATTTTCTTTGCATATACAAGACAAAAAAACAGTATAGTATTTCATACTATCATTTATATTTTTCTACAGAATTAATATCAGATTATATTACCATTCCAATGTGTACATATTTCTTTTCCCTTGATATATCTGTAATAAATGTCTTTAACTCAAATGACTTCATTTTTTGTTTGAGAGTTCTTTTTCAAAAAGACATTGTGATTACTTAATTGTGACCGATGACATGTTTGTTTAATCATTTGTCCTAATCAAACCTTAATAATGGTGATCACTAGTAGAAGTGACTATGGACATTATTCGATGTTATATGAGTTGGAAGGGAAACCGAAACAAAATCTCTTGACCAAATGGTAATTTCTGTGATTATAATGCTTTATGATGTCCGTTTGGTTTCATAAGAAACATCACTTTCCTCATAAATTTCTAGATTTGTCTTTTAGGCATGTTACATTGATTGGTTACCTTCAATTAACATTGAACCTATGGGTTGTATCGCAATGTCGTGTTTTCTTGCTAGTCATAAATGTTTCTTTGTTCAAGTAAATGATTCTTTAAATTGAACTGTTATGCTTTATTGATTTAACAGAATAAGATGAAGATTACACTTAAAGTGTAGCAGACATTCGAGTACATTTATCTGCATGTGGTTCCTCCATCGCTAGTCATGTATGAAGCCTAAAAATTAAGTCGAACAGTTCGAACTACTTATAAGTAGGCTAACACTAAAAAATCAATTTACACGGAATGTTTGATCGCTTGATATCTATTTATTTCGCAAATCCAACAAATTTGTTGTCCTCGGAGAGCCTAGAATAATTTACCATTTATAGTATAGATCACAGACTGATTCTACGTTGATAATCACTGAAAACCAGGGGACATTGTATAGTTGCTTCTAGCATAAAACTTGAGCAATCCTCACCTATTAATGTACCAGGAATCAACTGAAAATAAGGTGGACTGATTGTAAAAGTAATTTCTGTGGGAAAATACTTATGTGATTTTTTTGTATTTGGGTTAGAATTGGCTCGTTAAAATGTCAAACAGTGGAGAAACATCCTTGATGGCGACAGAACTGTATTATTAGACAGCTGTTTTGTCGCGATTTAAGACTTCGAATGATATCACCCATTAGTAATTTTACATGATTTAGAATCTGTCACTTTCAAGTTTTACTCTGACGATGATTACATTCAATGCTTTGGTATACAAGTTAATGGTTGTGAGATATGAATATTTTGGGTTAGATCCTTGTCATGATCACTGTTTTTTACTAATGAACAATCGCAATCTAAGTTAAACAACTATGCAATGCTGTGTATTTCTAATGGTTCTTCAGATCATGTCGACTCATGACGAAAATAATCATTTTCGAACCACGAGAAACGTACTACGTTGATATGATTTTGAGATGGTGAAGATTTGCAGCTCAGGTGAATGGTTTTGATAGTTTTTCCTCTGAGCTGGATGATTTGGTCGTAGAGTTTTATCATTCTTCTAAATGACATCACCACCACAAACTTCAGGTAGAACAATATATTTAGAAGAGATAAAATACATAAAAGTGACCATGTCTGCAAGGCTGAACCATACCATCCAATTGGGTTGTATGAAAGTTCCCGCGTTCTTCATTGTTAACCTTCTCTTCGATAGTTCGAATACTTCATTTCTACCTGAAGGTTGTGCTGATGATGTCGTTCAGAAGAACGATGAAAGCTCCACGACTAAACCATCCAGCTCAGAGAACAAAACTCAATCAAAAAGAAAATAATCAGGGTAAATTAATCTCCACTTCAAATAATCCTATTTCCAAACACCTTTCATTTATCTAACATGTTTGCAATGCTCCATTATTAATACGGATCACTATAATTGATTAGTTTCTACTAGCGTCTAAACGCTTAAGTGTACGTTCTGATATCCAATGTCGACATCAACAATACATTGTTGGTACAGTTAACGTTATGGTTCAAACAGGACGTAACGCTGCTGCCTGCAGTTAGTCATAATTTCAATATACTGAAAAACTATGACCAAAAACGTGACATCTGCATGGAATAGAGTCTTGAATGTCAACTATAAAACATAACCAATACTGGATATCATACTCATTGAATGAGTTAATTACTAATTTAGACTTAGTCACTTAATGAAGCGACATATACTACATTCAGTTTTCATTGTGTACACTAGCATTAACTAGTTGACATATTGAACTGACGAGTGACAAATAGGATAAAACATAATCAGTTGTGAATTCCATTACTTGACACGATTCACAAATTCACCATTGAAGAAGCTTGATTAAAATGTGCATGCATAGTTCATCTGATAATACTGACCTTCGAAATTTGTAAAATTTATCACTTCAAGTATTAATAAATGTCTCATTTGAAATTTACGGTGATAGGGATATAGTTATTCACATAAAAATTTGATGTAGCTTCGTAATAATTATTTCCCTATCTAAAATGGTGATTGGAGGTAGTTGACAGGAAACCCTGGACCCGGGTTTCGTGCTGTTTGGCACTCGTCAACAAGGTGTACCTCTAATTTTAAGGTAACTGATTCGATCTCGTATCACCTAGCTTCATAATCATTGACGTTACCACTGAGCTATATGGGCCGCAACTAACATCTTATAGGACTAAGATATATTTACAATTGATTGATCACTGTGTGCTGGTCAATGTCATATATGTCAGGTGCTTCTTAATGCAGATCGAATTCTATTGATCAAGTTACACTAGTCTAGATGACTTGACATTGCATGCACTATGTTGAAGGTATGATGCTGATTGGAGATCATCGATAAGAAATCCTAGATAAGATTCAATCTTCACAAAGACAGATCTAACACACATAATATTGATTACTATTCAGTGATCAGTTAATTTTAACTTCATCTATGTAGTTTTAAATTATCATTAACAAAAGGGGAATGTAGGGAAATTAAAAATAAACTCATTCATAAGTTTATAAGTAGTATATACCACTTATCCATCATATTGTTTATTTTCAATTTTTTAATGATGATAAACTATAAAGATTAGTTCAATTATAGGACATATATAATTAACATTATGCGTATATATAAACTATTGTTTAATATTTCCTGTATGAATTGAAATGAATTCATAATTAGTAGTAGTAGTAGTAGTATATACATTTTATTATTCAATTTTGATTAATGGAGTGTATTTATGAAGAGGTAACACCTAGTTGTGTTTATTTATTACTTCAGATTTTGAATGACATTAGTTAAGTGTAAGGAACATTGCTATCAAGTTAATAATGATTTGGTTATGTGTGAAAAAGATTTCTGTTATTTATTTATTTATTTAAACACATAAATATTGACACAAGAAGGCACCAAATAAATATGCTCCACATGATACATTGGATTTGTATGTAGACTTTGATACTGGTTGAGTGTCTAAACCGAAAGAGGTGGTTTTCTTAGGGGGCCACATCTGAAACTTTCGACCTAATGGTCTGATCTACAAAACAGTGGAGCAACGTCAGGAGATACAGTTCCATGGTAATCAATAATTGGTTCATATACTATTTGCTCCTTTAGTATTCTGGAGCTCATATGCACCGTTGGTTTGTAATGAGTTTTTCGATTTCCCTAAGTGGACTCTCCGTATCCACCAACCCGGTTAAATAGTCGGATATTCTCTTTTCGTCTTCATTATTTCATAAACAACAACCCAAGTCAGTGAGTAGGATTGTCCATGCAGTGTTTGTATACGCGTCGCCATGTGAGAGCATTTGTAGAAAGAGCTCTGACTCTTCCCACTCTCGGTTGTACCAGGGAATTTGGGGGATTTATCTAGTTAAGTGTATATAAACATTAAGGTTATCTTTCTGGAAATTTAAAACAAATTTTCAACTGAGATCTTTCGATGACGGGATTTATAAGTTCCAATATCTTTGTTAAGGAGGGGGTGGTTCAGATTACGTGACTTTGAATTTTTAGCACCTCGACTTTTTAACGTTCAGTTTTTTTCATTGTCTTGCATTTTGACATTCAAATAGTGAGTGAACTCTTCATATAAGAATACGTTTTTCGTGTTATAATTCACTGTTATTACAAAACAATCTATTCCTATTGCTTAATATTCTTGGACACTAATTCATTCGACAAGTTCCTAAATCAAAACATAGTTGAACAGGAAAGAAATTTTATTCAAAATAACAAGGGGTAGATGGAAGTAAGAAGCACAATAAGAAGAATGTTAGTATGTTCATAGTTTTCTTACATATGAATATTCTTGAGTGTACTTTAAGTATCGACTAGCGCTAATGATTGGATAAGTATTAGCCAATCATCATACACCAATACAATCATACATGGAGCATAATTTAATTCAATCTATATCCAGTTAACAATTCAATTTCGAATTCTGACTCTTGTTTTTCTCGTGCTGTAAGTTGGGGCCCACAAATGCCCTGGTACAGCCGAGAGTGGGGACAGTCACCTCTCCCTCTCAAAATGCCCTCACATGACCACGCGTATACAAACACTGCATGGACAATCCTACTCACTGACTTCTTGCCATGGTGTGTTGTTTACGAAATTGAGAGGACAAAAAGCAAATATCCTACGCTTTAACCAGGTTAGTGTACATGGAAAGTCCACCTGGGGCAATTGGATCTTGAGGGAACAAATGGCGTATAAACCAATTATTGGTCACCAGCTACCATGGGACTGCATCTCCTTGCGATGCTCCATTGCCTTGTGGATCACACTTTTAGAATGAACGCTCCGGATGTGACCCCTAAGAGAACCACTTGTTTCGGTTTGCGCACCCGGACAATATCCCAACCCTCACACAAATTGAATGATTTATGTGACACATATTTATTTGGTGCCTCCTTGTACCAATATCTATGTGTTCAAATAAATAATATAAGTTGGGATGTGCTACAGTGTCGTCTTCATAGAGAATTATCTTTAAATAGTCACTATTAATCGATTAACTAAATAATATTGAATATTGAAAATAGATAATTATCCCTATATTTACTTATGTATTATTATAAACAATTGAAAATTAAACTAAATAAATTCAAATTCGATACTTCAATGTTCAAGGTCATTTCTGTTTACTATGTGTATATCTATATGCTTTTTTTTAGTTTTTTTTGTTGCTTTTTGTGTATTTATGAAAGAAAATGTCCTTTCTTTCAGTAAAAATTGTATTACCCTAAAAAAAAGTAAAGCGACATTATCGAAGATCAATTAATATGGATATATATATTTATATATATAAAGAGAGAAGGAGAGAGAGTGTGTGTGTATGTGTATTTTTATGGACAAAGAAAGAACACTATCAAATGCTTTGGTATTGCCGAGAATCGGGAGAGTTAATTCTCCCGATTGAAATGTTCTCACATGGCTATACGTATACAATCACTGACATGAATGTCCTACTCACTGCCTTCTTGTGATGGGGATGTTGTTTATGAAATTGATGGAAAGATTTGTGAATATCCTGCACTTTAATTGGGTTGGTAGATATGGAGGATCGACCTAAGGAAGTTGGAAAACCCTCATTTTAAACCAGTGGTGCACATGGTCTCCAGTATCCTGAAAGAACAAATGGCGTCTGAACCCATTTTTCACTGACTACCATGGGACTGTATCTCCTGATGTTGCTCCAATGCCTTGTGGATTAGACCTTTAAGTCGAAGGCTCTGGGTATGTCCACCTAAGAAAACCACCTGCTTCGATTTGGGCACCCGGACATTATCGAAGCCTATACACAATTCAACTGACTTGTGTAGCGCATATGTGTTCAATACCCCTTTGTACCAATATTTATATGTTTAAATAAATAAATAACAGAACAAGAAATATCACGAACACAGATATTTAATGATAATTTTCATCAACTTTTCTATCAACTTGTAAAATTATTTAATGGTTGAATTCATGAGTTAATTGAAGCTAGATAACCATAGAAAACCCGAGGGCACTGGACGGCCCTTTCATCTTAGTATGGGACTGTTCAGCAGTGTGTATCTACGATTCTTCCTTGTGAGATTCGTACCCAAAACATATCGCTCTCGCACCCGGACGCTAAACCACTATAACACTGATCCGGCATCCAACGGTGTTAATGTTTAACTTCTACCAATCCACGGAATTGCACCACCGTCCAACATTGTCTCACAAAAGACCTGGCTGAACTCCACTGGTCACTGCTTTTTATTAGAACTCCAGGAAATACCTCGTGAATCCATTCACTAGTGAGCATATGATGTCTATTAATGTCTAATAATAAGAAGAAGAAAAAAATCTGACATTCTTTAAAACTTTATTAATTAATTTCAATAATTGATATTATGAGTCAATGAAAGCTGAACCATCATGAAAAACCTAGAAGTATTCAACAATCGTTTCGTCCTACTGTAAAACTCTTCAGTTGTTTTTAATTTTCTATCACAATGTGCTTTATTGTAAGAAAATAAAATAAATTCAAGCAAAGATGGATGGTGGCTAACAGTGGACGCTCGTTTCATTCTATTTGGTACTCGTCAGCTGGATACGAGTAAAACAACCCCAAGTAAATTTAAATAAATTTAGCCTACAAAAAACAAAACAAATCTCATAGGTTGAAATCATGATTCATTTGAAGCTATATCACCATTGAAAACCTGGGAGCACTAGACGGCCTTCTCGTCCTAGTATGGGACTCCTCAGCAATACACATCCACGATTCTGCCCCCCGTGAATTTCGAACCCAGAACCTATCAGTCTCTTGCGCGATCGCTTAACCTTTATACCACTGAGCCGGTTGTGAGATATCAACTCACTGAAGACAGTGGTGTATGGTGGTGCAGTTTTGTGGATTGGTTGAAGTTAGACATTAACACCACTTGGTGCTGGCTCAATGGTCCAGTGGTTGAATGTTGGCGAGCGAGACCGATATATCCTAAGTTCGTATCCCTCGAGCAGGATCATGGATGCACACCGCTTTGAAGTCTCATCCAAATATGAAACGATCGTTCAGTGCTTCTAGATTTTCCTATGATGATCTAGCATCAATTGACTCATGATTTCAACGCGTGAAATTTCGAAAATCTTCATCAAACCCCTTTTGAATAAAAACAAATCCCATAAACATCATTTCAACCAATCAAATTCGTTTATCTAATTTTTTTTAAATTACCTAATCTAATGATTCCTGTTATTTGATTGGTTCATTTATTCAATGAATAAAGTATAAATATCCATGAAATCAAATATGTCATTATCATATATTTAGATTCCAAGTATAAAAGTGTAATTTGTTATTTTAACGGGTTAAAAAGTAGCCGGTGGGGGGAGGGAAGGGAACGGATGAAGTAAATTGTATCCAAGCCACACAAACACACACACATACACAAATAAGATGGAATGGTTACTATGCTTAAAATATATAATTTTTTATAAAATAATTTTATTAAATATATTACAATTTATAACTAATTATTATTGGAATGAAAAATCCATGAATAAATTAATAAAACCTCAACGTCAATGTATATTTCCATCTGTATATAAACGTAAAGCAATTTATGAATGTCAACATATTGATATAAATGGACCAAATGATGAACAATTTAATTTAATAACAAATAACCATATTTATACATCTAAATGGTGGTGTCCATTAACTGATAATTATGATCATTATCCAGAATGGCAATTATGTCCAGAGACAACAACAACTTATGGTGGTAATCAACCAGGTAAACAATGTTATTTTCCATTTATTTATCATAAACGTTTATATACAACATGTATTAGATATGATGGTAATTTAATATATCAACATGAATATGATAGAATACCAATAGATAATGGTAAAAGTGGTTATTGGTGGTGTTCAACCACATCAAATTTTGATCATGATGGTTTATGGACAAAATGTCGTCCACAATTATCATATCAATTACCATGTTATTTTAAAAAATTAAAAAATTATTATGATCATTATAATATAGGAGGTTTTATACAATCAAGTGATTATGAATGTCAACCATATTTAGGACATTGGATATGTTATACAGAATTAAAACAATTACGTGAATGTCCTAAATCAATACAATTATTACATAATATTAAAACAGAAGGTGGAAATGATCCTGGTTTTCCATGTTATTTCCCATTTCAAGCTACTTTATCATTACATCATCATCATCATAATGAACTAAATAGACCACAAAATTTCACACATTGTTTACCTGGTATTAATAATAATCAATTAGATCATAATTTATCTATTTATCCAACATGGATTGGTTATTGGTGTTCAACAACAGAAAATTTTGATCGTGATCAATTATGGACACGTTGTCATTTAAATATAAAACAAAAAAATATTATTACATCATATAAATTATCAGAAATTTGGTCAGAATTAAATTGGTTAACATTATTAACTTATGAAGAAAAATCAATTATTTCTATTAAAAATTTAACAAATTCATTAAATTTTCAACAATCATTAAATTCTATAGAATTATTACGTGGTAAATGGGAATTATTTACTAAAACTAATTATGATCCAGATCATATAGATGATGATCTTAATCATAATCATAATCAATATAATGATCATTATTATATTGAATTAACATGGTGGTTATGGTTAGCACCATTTTGGTGGATAACATATCAAAATAATCAATCATTCAATTTAACAAATCATACACAAATGATAAATATACATAATAATCAATTAACTATCAATAATAATAATAATGATAATAATAATAATCCATTAATAAATGGATTAAATTTACCATCCTGGTTAAATGAATGGAGTGAATCAGGATGGTATTATTATAATATTAATATGAAAACGAAATGGAATCATTTATTATTATATTTATATTATAAATGGTTAAAATCATGGTTATTCATATTATTTATTGGTTTTTTATTTGGTATATTATTAATTAGTTTTATATTATTATTGATCTTTTATTCATTAAAAAAATCAATACGTTTACAAATTATTGATTGTTTATTTCAAACAAAATATCAATCAATTATTAATCATCAATCAATAATACATCAGAAATCATTAGAATTATCTACAACTAATATATTATTGAAACAAAATTATTTATTGAATAATAATCAATTAAAAAATCGATTTGATTATAATTTTAAAGAGATACAAATTAGATCAATCGATAATCAGAATAATGATCATGATCATGATCATTTAGATTGTAATCGATTATTGACATTACATTCTATTCATGATCATCATGAAAATGTTGAACAGAATTTATTGAATAAATCAATAAATGATAAAGTAGATTCATGTTGTTGTCGTTGTTGTTGTGATTATTTATGGAATAATAATAATAATGAGAATACAAATACTAATACTACTACTACTGATATATATAATGTAAGTAGTATAAATAATAATAATAATCATAATCTTAAAGAATATATTAAATGTTTATTAGATGAACTGATTATTCAACATTCCAATAATGAAATTGATGATAATGATGATGAACATTATTATAAACAACTTCGTCATTTCTCTAATCTTCTTGATATATATTTAAATAAAGATGAGAAATATATAAATGATGAGAATCATGAAGATTATGTAACATGTTATTTACATAATAATACAAATGAAATATATCATAATAAACAATTATGTCAGTGTTGTTGTCGTCATCGTCATGATCATCATCATGATGATCATGATCATCATCATTGTTGTTGTCGTCGTCGTTGTCGTCGTCTCCATCATCTCCGTCATCATCTTTGTCTACGTGAATGTTATTCATTAAATCATCAATCATTACAACATACTTTCCAATATAATAATCATAATATGAATTATTTAGATAATCATCAACAAAATGAAATGAAAGTAAATAATGATCCATTTATTATTGAACCAACAGCACCACCACCAAGTTATGATCAAATTGTACCAATATTGTAAGTAGATTTTTGTTTGTTTTTCTTTTCATGTTTCTAACGAACTATTCATCTATCTGTTTGTTTGTTTATTTATTTAATGTTTCTATGATTGAATAATTTATTTGAGGATGATCTATGAGTGAATTTAAGGAAGCTGCAACAAATCTCAGAAAGACTTGAAGATATTCCATTCAATCAATTTATGGAACAATATTCCAGAATCTTTATAACATGTCGATTCCCTATTGAACACAAATGCTAATGATTCCTTGTATGCGGATTAGATGAAGACGACGACGATGATGATGATGATTTTGTTTTTACGATTAGAAAAAGTACTATAAATACTCAACAATTTTGTAACATAATTGATCCTGTTTTGAAATAATGATCCTTCTCAATTGTTCTCTATCTATGAGAATGAATTCTAACTATTCGAATGGATCAAATTATATTCAATATTAGCAAGAAATACAATGTCTTAGACATAACAATTTGTTTACTTGAATAAACAATCAATCAATCAATCAATTAACCAACCAAATAAACAAACAAACAGGTATATTTCAATTATTCACAATGTATAGCATTTCTTTATTTCTTTCTTTCTTTCTGGTTTTTTCTTTCTTTTTTTGTTTTTATCTTGATTGTTCATTATCTTAACTTTTCTTTTTTGTTTACATGAATTGACAATTAAAAGACAAAACAAAACAAAACAAAACACAATGAGAATTGATTCATTGAAGATGAAGAAGATCACTATAGGATAGTGTTTGCCTTTTATTGATTTTTATGTATTTAGGTTAAGAGTACATTTGTTTTTAAAGTATTTTGTTCTTTGTGAATAATAATAATAATAAATATGTATATAATTATGTGTTAACATTTTGATATTGAGCTGAGTTGCTAGTTGTGGCAGCCTAGTGCAGAGGGGTAGCGTCAAATGGAGTGTTCTTGCGGGATGGCGTTGGTTGTTGGTCAACAGAGAGGAGCGGAAGTACGTGCGGCTGTTGGATGGACGTCGGATGTAGATGGCTCAGCAGGCTGGTGGAGCATGGGTGTTAAGTGTCCCAAGTGTCGGGTGGATGTCGGATGTTGTCTCCTCAACAGGTTGATGAAGCTATGGAGGTCAGCGCGCTGCAGACTCGACATTTTGACGGAGAGTGTAGCACAGACTGCACAGAGAAAGAATGTAGCACGGTGAGCATGAACGACTGCTTTGAAGAGAGGACGAGTGTAGTGTGTGCTACTTATATCGACATAAGTAGTATATGATCTTAAACAGGAACAGAATGTCTGGCAGCAGAGAGACAAGAGGATCGAACAGTAAAGAATGGGAATAGAATGCAGTTTGTATAAAAATGCAAGAACAATAAAGTCTGGGCCATTTTGAGACAATTGATGCACATTTTGCAAATTAAATATTTACTATTTGATTATTATATTTTATTAACAAGTACTGTAAGTTGCGTGTCGAATACATTCCATTGGCCCCACTGGTTTTCGTGTTCACTACATTAGGTCCGAGTCCATTCATTCTGTTTCAATTTACGACTGTGAAACATTGCCATATTCGTATTGATCATATCTGCTGGGATCATTGGGTAAGTAATAGTGAGGTTAGATGCAAGGTATTAGAGAATGATGATAAATCAGTTGATGAGATTGTGAATCTACATCGACAAAGATGGTTGAGTCGCGTGTTACGTACGCCTGAACTCTGATTACTACGACGCGCAATGCTGACTAGTGTTGGAGATAATTGGAAAAATGCAAAAGGCGATTAAACCAAAACGTGGGATCAGTCTACAAAGTCACTGACTTATAGTGTGAGCCATGCTGTTGGATGCAGACTACTCGGTCGGGGTCCTCGTGACTATCATAACCAATGGTCGAAGACTGTGTGACATGGCCGAGAACTGACCACAATGGCGTCAGTTATAATACACTTTCTGTTTTCCCTTAAACCGTGAGATTAAAATCGCTTCATATCTATCTTTCTATGAACTGATTCTTTCTTCCTGTAGAGTGTCTTTATGTTCAATCTTTTATATATTACCACCACTGAATTAACTACTTCGATGAATCCGGTGTTCATTTTGTTGTGTTAATGCAGTATGGCAACTTGGATCGATGCACATATGTGTCTTGTCCCACGTTGTAGCTGACTAACTGTCTGACGTTCAAGTTCTGTGGTGTAAATCAATTTTTGGTATACTGGTACATTCAGTTGACGAATCTCAAATAGGACGAAACGTACATCTTGGGTTCCATTGCTAGCCGTCACTCATTTTTGTTAATAATTATATGACATTCAAAAAGAAATTATATTTCTGAAAAAATTTTAGGGACTGATATTAAAATAATTCTAACGTTTCGTTTCTTATATTAGTTTGAACTTCTACAGGGAAATAATCAAACACATTACCTGCACAAGTGAGTAGCTATTTGAATTCAGTAGCTAAGTGGATGACATGTTGAGATTTTGGAGCCAAAAGTACTATATTCGAATCCCAAATGAAGATCAACTCTGATATACAAGTATAACTGATAAAATATCTCAAAAAGAATATTTTGCTTTTCCTGGATTCCACTTCTATTCCAATTTAATCTATTTTGTGCAAAATTAAGATATAATGACAAGCCATAAAAGATACAACTCGGCCTGTAGCTCTTCTAGGGATACTGTTGGTCCCAAGCCCGGGTAAAGGAGGAGGGTTTGGCATGGGCTTAAAAACCCCATCCCGTAGAAAACTAACTCGCCAAAAAAAACGCTAATCAGAAAAAATACTTCAGTGCTGGTGGGCGGCCTATGTTCCGCCACGAAGAGTAACTGGCGTAAGTAAGTATGTAAGTAATAAAAGATGCCGTTATGTCAAATAAGATGAAGCAAAATTCAATCAAAGTATCAACAACTGGATACTCCAAACCATTATAAATTGAAAGTTAAGAAACCTACATTTTGACGGGTCAGTTCAGTTCTCTTAGTTCTGTTGCATATTAATTGCCAAATAACGATATCGATAAACGTTATCATTCAACATTACGACTCACTAATCTTTGATATTTGAAAAACAGAAGATTCTGTAGTTCCATCCATTTCATAAAACGTTTTGACGTAATGGTTATGTTGAATCAGTCTGCATAGGATACATGTATACTGACTAAAACTGGTAGAAATCTAATGCATTTCACAACCCCATCTGAGTGCGAACCAACGACCGTCAGATCATAAGATGAACGCTTAGCTATCATAACCTTCGAGTTGCTTTCTATTGACACACAGTTTCAAAGTCAGTCAATTCATGACATAGTGCAATGATCCCTTGAGAAATTTCTAAATTCTGTCAGCCATAAATTCTGACTAGAAGTTTTGGAATATTTCAAATTGATTCACTATTCCTCTAACTATTATGGTTTATATTCGTGGATGAAATCACAAAACTGATCTTAGCTAGACCACTAACAAAAACCGAGAAAAGCTGAAGAGTGTTTTCGTCCCAGTACGGAGATATCCAACGGTGAACATCCACAACATTACCATAGCGAACCAAATACAAGATCTTCAGTATTATAAACGAACACTTAACCTCTAAGTCATCATCATCATCATCAAGATTAATTTAATCTTAAGAATTTTAATGTTTGATTTTATATTGCCAACAAATTGTTAATGACGCCAAATTTTATTGTTATTCATTTTGTGCATAATAATGAATATGCGTAATCAAATTGTTGATCAGATCATTCTAAATTCTAGATTTAATCAGAGAATTTGGTTGACAAAATGTCGTAATGTAGAGACCACAATGTAATTCATAAATGTTAAAGTGTAGTATTTCCTCAAAGTTGACAAAATATTATCAATATTCGGTAATAACTTGAAATAATTGACTCTATGATGAATTAACTTCAATCAACAAGGAGATCTTCAGTTTTGATGAACTTATCCTCGAAGTTGTGTAGCTGACTGACTGACGAAGTTACGTAATCATGACTAGATAAAATATTACGTTTTGTTCTTATGATAATTAACTGTATATTTGTTAATATCAACAATAATTTGTCTCAATAGTTGAGATCATGTGTTAACTGAAACTAGACCACCATAGAGAACCTAGAAACAGTGAACGGCCGTTTCGTCCTATTATGGGACTAGTGACTGCCTTAAAGATGTATATCCTGGAGTTCTAGTGAGAAGCAGTGACCAGTGGAGTTCAATCGGGTCGATTGTGAGATAGTAACTCATTGATGTCAATGGTAGGTGTGTCGCTCAATTTTGCGGATTAGTTGAAGCTAGTTATTAAAACCGTTGGATACCGGCCAGCTCAGTGGTCTAGTGGTTAAGAGCTCGTGCGCTAGACCGATGTGTCCTGGTTTGGAATCCTGTGAGTCGGGTCCATGGATGAGCACTGATGAAGAGTCCCACGACAGAACGAAACGGCTGTTCAGTGCTTCCAGGTTCTCCATGGTGGTCTAGCTTCAAATGACTCACGATATCAACTATTGAAACTACTACAATCTCCAAAAAACCTCTTCTGATAATAATTTATTTAATAAACGGTTACATTAGAAGAAGTTGTAGGAGTCTGTATTTTTCGTATTAACGAACACCTTACAGTGTAACTAGGCAAAAACATTCTTAAAACTACTCATAATTCAATTCTTTGTTTAGCTGAGACAAACTGGTCATTCAGCCAATATGAATCAGTTATTCACAGCAATATATCATGGTTATAGTTATCCGCTCAAATCTATCAGATTGAAATAGACATTCAAGTATATTCAACTGTTATATTCATTTTGAGCAACTTGAAGTCAAGTTTGTTAACAGTTAGTCATTTTCATCATATGATGACCTTTTTGTAATGATGGACACAAAGCATTCCTCTTCACATTTTCACAGCTCGAATTTATATTCCAGGTTTTCAATGGTGAGTTAAATTAGATCGATTCATGATTTCAATAAAAATGATAAATCTTTACAACCCACTACTTATTAATTTTATGTGCTTTTCCGAAAACAGATTTGATACGTGTTCTCATGCGTAATTAAAGATTCTGTGTTTGATTCCCTAGTGCAAGCTCGTAGACGAACTTTCGAGGAGGCTCATAATGGAACGAAACGGTCGTTTCTTACTTCATGGTCTTCAATGATAGTCGCTCACCCTATCGTCGCTATCATGATTGTGGAGATTAATCCCAACACTTCAATGAATCTATAAATTTGCTCAAGTTAACAATGGACAATGGTCATGTAACATGTATTTGTCAATGATTATTAAGAGACTGAAAATTTAAATGTCAAAACGATGAATATTAATCGAGAAATTTCGGCTAAACAATCTCCAGATCAAGTGTTCACATGCGAGACCGAAGTTCGTGGATCGGATTACCAGTGTCACAGTCAAGAATGAGCACTGATGAAGAATTCCACACTATCACGTAAAAGATGTACAATGCTTCTACATTTTCGAACGTGGTCCATCCACGATCAATTCGTCATTTAAAGCTATGAAAACTTTATAGGTGTTAAGTTTAGATTGATAATTGTAATAACGTACTGAATTAGACACAATAAGCTAAAATGTTGAAATAAACGTGAAATGTGGGTAGAAAGAAAACGGAAACGGAAATACATGGGATAATCGAGTAGGAATGAGAGAGATGACGAATAATAGGTGAACTGTAAGACAAAGATCATAATAGGCGAACACGGTAAATCGGTTCCTTATATGGTAATGGCTATGCATCTGTAACTAATATCCTATCTGCTACTTCAATATTGTTCAGTCAGCATTGCCAACATACATGAGCAATGCTTTAAAGTTATCTACGACTGAATCTATTTATTTACGACATTTCTCAAGTTCCACAGGTCACGTTGTGTAGTCATAAATTGAAACAGAGGGAACTGATGAATAGAAAATTTATCCCTTGTTTGATAGAAGGACATATCGCATGGATACTTTG